CAGTGAAGTTACTGTCAGTCTCTTCTTTTTTCCCTCTCATTCCCCTTTCTCATCCCCTTTCCCAATCCCCCAGTGTAGGGTAGCCAACCGGATGTCTTTCTGGTTAACCTCCCTCCCTTTTCCCTTTTGTTGCTTCCTACTCCATGAATGCAAGGCCTGTTTGAAGGCACGCATCGAAGCAACAAAAATGCAGCAGTAGGAACAGAACGACGAAAAACCGTGTGACAAATGCTTGTCACTATTTCACTTCTTTCTCGTATCGGTGGCGTACATAGCAATTTAAGATTTTTTTATCTGCGCTGTTACCTTTGGTTGATAGTCCTTTACGGTGAACACTTGTCAAGTGGTACTCTATCGTTATTTTCATCGTCACATTTATCTGTTGCTTCGATGCATGCCTTCAAAAAGGCCTTTCGTTCAAAGTAATAAATTTTTTGTAAGGTGAGCTCTGTGCGTGTGTGTTCCTTCCAAAGTATTTAGTTTTTTTTTTCCGCTGGTAAATCCATCGTAAGCAAGACTTGGGACAATAATATTTGTTCTCAGCAATTTTAGGCTAGGTTTATGTTGACTTAGACAAAAGCTAACCACCTCAGTAGCTGTAATATAGGGGTGTAATCAATGCGCTTGCTCAGACGAGACATGACGTTATAGAATCGACAGCACACATTCAAATATGCACCTTGCATGCAGCGTTCTATATCTAATACAGGGGAGTATAATCTGCTGAGATATTTTGCACAGATTATCCGCAAAACGTCAACGCAATAAAAGAGACACTGTTAGTGATACCTGCATACGCGCGGCAGGGACAGCCTGATACGGACGGCACAGTGACACAGTTCAGCCGACGCAGTGGTGCAAGTCAGTGGCGGACACGCATAGCAGAACCTCCTCTTCAAAGGCTAATCCTTTGGTGGAAATAATTTCCACTGTTCGAGATGACATCCGGAGACTCGAACAGGCTGAGCCTCCACCTGTCGCTGATGCATGCCGATCAACTGTATTCCCTGGAGGACGAAACTGCTCTACCAATTCCGCACATCAGGGGAATGCCTCAGACAGAGGCCGTCACCAGTATCGTCAGACATATTGCCGCTATTCCAGTGTTGCAAGTTCGCCTCGAATGCATATGTAGGACATACTTGTGCCTTATGGAGAAAGGCGTCCTTGGTCCCTGGGTTGTATATCAACTCAGGGGGGCTCAAGTTCAAGCTGATGCGAATTTCGTGATCAGCTATTTAGAGAATCGTGATTTGAAGCGCGGATTCGTTCATTCTATGGACAGAAGCTCAGGGTGCATTCACATGTGCGCATTGGTGCTGGAAAGTTGCACCGCGAGTGCTGGTTTTCATGTCTATTGCTTCTGCTTGAGACCGCTGTGGGGGTGTGTGGCAGTCTATGGACATCCGAAAGAATATTTTTTCGGATCAAGCCAATTTATCAACAAGATGCTTAGGAACAATCCCCAAGTCACCAGATGTGGCGTTTACGCGGAATTGGAGACGGTGCATCGAGTTGTCACCTGCCTGTTTATACATACCTGATGTCGCTTCGTTCTGCCAAAACAGCCACTTTGGGTACCAGCGAGTGAAGACGTGTTTAATTGTGAGTAAACATCTCGCTTAATATAATGCGAACATTGCTGTAATCCCGCGGCGAAAAGGTGGCTAATATAGCCCTCTTGTATGTTTCGTACAGCTGTTGTAGGCTGTTTCAGTAGCTCTAAATACGGCACTAAGGTCTGCGCTAATGTCGGTCTTCAGTAGGTGTTCCTGCAGTTGTATTTCTTGCACTTTATGTAGTTGTAGTAGCTCAAAATCTTGAGAAGGGCGTAGCATGAAATAACCCAGTCAATCACGCTGCAATCCCGCTCTTGCTGAAGCTGTCCGCTATCTCTTTTGCGACGGGTGTATCAGCCGAATATTTAGGAAACGTTTGTCACAATCTTTGAATATATGCTACTGCAATGCTTTGCGATTTCCGTAGTTATTATTTTAAACCATGCTAATTTTATTTGACCTTCATTTTTAGCACCATTAGCCTTGTTTCAGACCTCCGTTGACCCCTGCTGACCACGCGACATGAGAGCGGATGAGTATAAAGCCCACAGCTTCTAGAAGAATTTGTGCTTAAAAGAAATGTGTGGTACATACAAAATGTGACGTCTAGTCGTTTGTGGATGGATAGCGGCATGCGCTGAAGCGATTTCATGGTGCTGAGTTTGCTTCATTAGCACTGTAGTTTTGAAGCATTGTGGGGCTTCATAAATGCGTGATACTTTAAGAGGTACTGAATCAAAATGCATTATCGATGCATACCTGACGAGTCTCGGTGGTGAACTGATTTTTGCAATTGGCCACTGACGCCACGGTAGCAGATGAACGTACACGCTGCTGGCCGAGTTCTTACTGGTAGAGCGATGGCCGAGTTCTTACTGGTAGAGCGACATTTTATAGCGCTAATGAACGATAACGTAAGAGAAAGAAATACCTGAAGACAAATTTATTAGAGCCAGTGAAACTGTGGGGCCTGCATAATACTCCCGATGTGCAGACGCGTCATCAACTTTGAACAGGCTGCATGTGATGTATAAAAGCAACGGTTTAAGCAAGGTGTGTACCGCAATATATACTAAATGGACGTTTGGCAAACGCAGACAAATCGATCTCTTTCAATCGGAATGCCTCTGGTGTTCGCGTGTCATTTAATTTACTTCTGCGAAGGACCCTCGCGTCACAGAATATTAAGTCCCAAGAGCAGGTTCTTCAATGCGCCGAAAGATGCACAGCTAAATCATTCTTCAAATTGTTCGCGTGTGCACTCTTGCGGTCATTGACGCATCTGCTCGTTTGTCCTACATATGGTATCGCAGTTTTAAAATGTTGTGACTGTGTGTATAGCTCATTTCTTTAACAAGTCACTATATCTCAGTAATACTGTCATCATTTCTGAAAACAAAGATGGCATTTTGCAAAGGCTTGTGCGTAGCACCTTGCTGCCTTACTATTCCTTCGGAAGGAAATAAAGGTGTTGACAGCTGCCTTATGGTCTTGCAAGAATTTAAATGTAAGAAGACATTTCAAATGAGATGAATGGTATGTGTCGTTTTATAGATTCAGAGAATGACCTTGCATTACAAGTTTTTAAAGTCAGCGGTGAAGAACTCGCCTCGTAATTACCTCTAGAAATACGCTATATTTGTAGATTCTAGCGTAAAATGTTTTTGAGGACCAGGTTTGCTTATTTACTGTGCCGATATAGCAAAAAGAACTTCTACTTTACGAGCCTGTCTACTTTATTCTAGTGAAGAGGCTGACAGCCATGTGGTGTCTGGGAGGTTCACTTGGGAAGCATTTCGAGCGCAAAGTTTCGGGGTAGCTTCGCATATCAATTTACTCGCCTTTCCAAAGCCGGCTACGCTTATCAGGTCGTTGCGCCTCCAGCGGGATCTCTGCAGCACAAGCTAAACGCAGGGGCGTTTGGAAAAGAAGCTACAGTTCATTAAAAGAGCGCCCAACAGCCGATAGTTCTGTCTTAGCTGCATAGTATGAAGAATAATTCTAAAAAATAAGCGGTTTACAGTTGCAATGCACCTTTTGCATGTCCCGCACCCATCAAGCTGGCCCAAATGTGACAACAATTTATCGGCGTCTTCAAGACTGGCTACAGTGTTAAGCAAAGCGAATCGGCGTTAGAGTGGTGGTGTGTATGCACTACCCCGAATATGTGTTAAATACTACGTCTAAGACCAACGGATAGATGCCTAAACGATCGTATTAGGAAATACGTTAACAATTTAAAAATTTCACATTCATCGAAGAAGCTGCTCTTGTTAGCCGGCATTCTACGATGCGAGGATCCTTCACAGAGATGAAGATCAAATTGCACGGGAATTTCAAAAGGCCTTTAATATTAAAGAGAAAATTCTGATTGTGTGATTGAAACGTGCGTGTCACTTTACAGTTCAAAACACCCATTATTTCAATATTTCATTCGATATGTACCTCTGGTCTGTCCTATTTTGACGATGCTTCTGCGCCTAGGAAGTAGCATACATGTGTCACACTTTTCTTCATTAAAATAATGTTTGAGTTAGCACCTGTCCCGTCGACATGCCTTTGTTTCTTTTCAGCAAAGGTGCAAAGTACACCATAAATATTAAGCACATTGGAATAGTATTTTCACCCGAATGGCAGCAATGGAGTTGTTATCTCTACTTTCTTCATTTCTTTCTTTTTCCAGCATCAAGAGGAAGTCTCGAGAGGAAGAACAAGGAACTCACTGGAATGGTCAGAACTACGACGATGCTCTTCCAAGACAACGTTGTCCCCAGCATTATGCGGGGCCGAATCGAACTTGTACTTATGGTAGCCTTATTACCCACTATCCCAATCATGTGTCCACGTTTCCTCTAAGCTATTAAAGAAATCATCTGGATTCGGTACGTGAAATTGAAGGTTTGGCAGATCATTTGCAAACTGATCTTCGTTTCTTCATAGTGTTCTGTATAATTGCATGACGCGGCAGAACTTTCACAACCTGTGAAACCGTCTGCATTGACTCATTCTGGCAACTATAACAAGTGAGTACAGCTTGTTAACCAGGTATATTGCAAAGCGGCACTTCATCAACTGTTGTACACTATTGAGCACAATAGGTGGTGCTTATATTACGAAGTCTCTTGCTACGGCACGCATAGAAAATATATTGAGCCCTTAGTTGGTTTGCTTCACGGTCTTTATTTTCTACACTGCTGGCTTGTCTAATGCATAAATCTATAGGCTTAATTGTAGGCAGCACGCATAGTTGAATAACGTCTTGTCATATAACTTACTCTCAATGAAGTTGAACCTTTGGTCTTCAAAGCATGAATTCTTAGTCGACACGGTTGGCAAATTCTTTATTTTCACTGGTTTCAAGATAATCACAAGACCACTGTTGCCGGCACATGCCTTCTTACTTTATTAAATTGTAAATTCAATGTATCGCCTTATGTTTTTCACCATGTTTTTCATAATCATTCATTTATATGGTTCATTAAGAAATGTGAAAATATTGTGATTTTAAAGGCTGCGAGTACGAAATAGTGTATTCATTAAACAGTGTGACTAGAGGTGGTGAATGCTGTCTGTAATGGCATAATCTTTTTTTACCTTTCTTACAAAAATTAATACTCAACGCTATTTGCAGTGCTTGCGGCTTCGTCTTGTATGCAATACCCATCTTTGCATATCTGAAATGAAATATGTTACGTATATATAATCACACAAGGCATAGTGCAATCTCTTATTTACCACGCAATTGAAGGATTCAAGTTTTACGACTGGAATTCGGTAATATTGTTCGGAAATTTTCGTTGCTTGTCCTTGCAGCTTGCTAATAGCGGCTGTTGTTATATGAAGCGCATGTCCCTTACTGAAACTAATGACTCGTAGAAAGATGTAAAACCACCCATTCTTCTAACCTCACAGCTCGAACGAAGACCGTCGAAGTCACCGCTGCCCTCCGTACGATGCAGCACGTGGCAGTGGCAGTGGCCAGTTTTTGTGTCCCAGTGTCGTATCATAAAACGAGGTTAGAAAAAACCGCTTCATTGACATGTTCTGTGTGAGCATACCTGTCTTCAACTTTTTTGAAACTTAACTAAGTCGCAATGGCAAATATACTTAGAAATAACTGCCACTTGTCACGCACGACTGTACGACGAGAGGTAAAGTCGACGAGAATACGAGCGCGCGCGCGACGAGCAGTTCTGTGTGGCTGTCGTCTGCTAGGCTGCTTCGCTAACCTAGGTAACAGCCGTCACTTTTGTTTCTTTGTTCGTTGCCAGTGAACACTGGTACATGCCCACTCTGGAAGACTGTTCAAGAAAGCTTGCAGTAGCCTATATGTGAACACTATGTGATTATTGTCAGCTTATACTAAAATGGACAAAAAAATAATAACAAATCATCTTTTAAAAGCAAAATAATAAATAAAAATTAATCAATCAAAGAAAATTAAACCTGATACTTTATCTAAAGACTGAAACTTCTGAGTGGGCCAGACAGTCACCCCAACCGAGTTTACACCAACCGATCAAAATAGAATGTGTGTCTTACATTGATTCTCATTACCACTTATAACACAAGTATTCGTCAATAATATAATAACGGAGACGTTAAATTGACATGCGTTTAGACTCTTGAAGGCGCTGAAACGCAGAAAATTATTTGTAGTTATACTTAAACCTGCTGTGGAAAACGTAATACCTAGAAGTCCTTTCCTAACTAATGATTGTCCTAAATAATGAAATAAGGCTCTATGCTTTCTTCCTTGGGCCCATTCTTCGCAGAATGGGCACAAGGGAGATATTGCCAGACCAGCTATTTGTAAAATAAAGTTTATTGGGAGTACATGACACCGAAATTCAGTTAAAGTAACTTCTAGCCTTCTACATTGACTCCACTGAGGTTTCTAGGGATATCTGAGGTGCTTATAGTCTGTCCATTTAGAAATACTCTCTGTAATACCTGTAAAAATTGCTAATGTTCTGTATCTGATTGATACTATGTATTCAATTTCTGGGAGTACCGAAATAATTAGACCATGAAGTGAAGCTCGGGCTAACGAATCAGCCAGTTCATTTACCTGTATGCCACAGTGGCCTAAGACACATACTTTCTTCAAACGTTTCAGTTTAGGTGGAACTAATGTGCACAGTGTCAATATGGTTCTTGATTTTTCTGAAGATGTGAGAGCTGTATTCACTGAAAGAGAATCTGTAATGTTGACGGCACTGATTTCGTTTGAAGGCAGTTTTCGAAGCGCCGAAACCTTAGCCAAGAGCTCAGCTTCGAAAACCGGATTGAAACCTAACAGCCTCGCTAAGAATGGCTAGCCGAGGTAATCAGGGCCATTTCCTTCTTGCTCTTGTTTATTCTCTACTATAGCTGATACCCACTTTGAGCTCCGTTATTGCCATCCTCTTTCTTTTTTCGAAACGCTGCCATCAAGTTACAAAGGAAAAGCCAAGTGCCCGCGTTTGAGATAGGTTGCATATCAGACAGAACCACTGAATAATCTACGTGCGTATGAGAATTGCTTCCTGTAGTACACAGCGCAGCTTCTTGGGCGAAAATATCAGACGGAGTAAAGATATCAGCTCCTGAAACACAGAAGCATGAAAAGAAGAATAACCACATAATGTTGATCGAAATGCAGGTAGGATTGGGTCCTTTTCGCGTAAGAGCCTGGCAGGGGAAAAGTGTACGGAAATGTTCCCTGCGTACATGCGTGTTCTCGGGCTGTGTTTCATCATGCGGTGCTTATCGACCAGGTATTGGAGGCTTGCGCTTTCGAGTTAAAAAAATGGCTACTTGCCCACTGTAGTACATTGCACTGTTTCCTTCCTTGTGAACACTCATGGCGAGAGCTTTGCCTAATTGTGTTTTGTTCCCGTTTACTTCAATAAAAATAAAGCCTCGGATAAGTGTGGCTTTAGAATGCCAGAGGTCACGTAAGCAGAAAAAAATTCACTGAAAAAGAAAGCCACAGGTGGTCGCAGTCTACATCCACAGCTGTGTTCTCTGTTATGCGCCCTGAGAAATTGATAGCGAAACTGTTTGTGCCGGAGGTACAGGGCACACATCTTCACACATCTGTTTGTGCCGGAGGTACAGGGCACACAACTCCCCTCCTTCCCTTCCTGACTATTTCCTTTGAATGGTTGGTAACCCTACACCATGTGTCGCCTAGCAACGCATGTGAGGAAGGAAAGGTGGAGCGGAGATGAAGTTAAGTGGAGATAAGGAGAAGAAGAAAGCCACATTTCCGCCAAGGATGAAGAAATCGATGTAATAGTAACAAATTAGAATGTCACACGAATATCGAAAAGGAGCTCGACACTTGCAGCTTCCCGCTGAAGCAAAAAAAAGGACGTGCAGGTGTATACAGGACAAGCGTAAACTACCAACTGGCTAGCCTGTGGTAGAAGAGGCCATCGTCCCTACCACCAACGACTAACAAGCAGCATACGTAGATGCTTCTATAGATGACTGCGTTATGCACGCCAGTCTCGTATGTGCCATGATACCTGAAAAAATACATACATGTTCCTATGTTACAGAGGCACCATTCACATAAGTGTTGGTTGAGCTTGTCACTATACGGCACGGCTTAACGTTACCCAAAGTGGATTGCTTGTCACCCTATATACGGACTCCAAGTAGGTAGTTCGAGAACGGTGAAAAGTGACCAGCTCTCTCATATAGCTTCTTATGTAACCCAACGTATTCATTCGTGCGCCTGTCCTGTCAGCGTACTGTGGACTCGTGCGTGTCCGCTGGCCCAGCGAAACACCGACACCGTTTGCCACCCAACGGAAGTTCAACACTTGCGGCCTCTACATCGTTTGTTCCCAAAATACAGCTTGATCCTGTACAATAAAAAAAAACAACCTCTGGTATTCCATGCGTGCAATCATTCCACCACGTTAATCAGACCTACCCAGTGGCTGAAAGCAACGAGAGGAGGTTGCACTCATGAACACGTACTGGCAACCTGTCCGGGCCTTCACAGGGTTTGCACCCGCAACCAGCGCAGCCTTGACTACCACTCTAGTTGGCCACCTCTCTTATTGCACTGGACACAACGTCTTCTGCATAGAATGTTCCTGGCCTTTACACAGAAAACTGAACTCCTCCTCATTAGGTTATTCCTGAGGGCACATTTGCAACAATAAAAAATAAAAAAATGTTGATCTCTCCATCTAAGCAATCAGTGCAATACGAAAGTGAAATGGTTCTTTACAGACGTAGTTTGATGTTTGCCCTACATTGATATAATGAAGCTTATACAATGTTTGTTGGTGTTTGGCAGCTAAAGCACTGTTCAACGTAAATTCATCCTCATTGACACTAAGTGACGCATTTAGATCCCGACGACTAACGTCCGTGATTAGTGTATATAGATTTTGTTTGCGAGGAAGGCTTGCGTATAAGGCATAATATTCTTGCGGGTATGTTTGTTAAATGTGTACAGTTAGGCCAGTGTTGTGTATGAATTGAAGTAGTGTCTTGTGGAATGATTAAATATGACTTTGTGGTCATGGATGCCTGTGGCGTAGCTGTAGTGAATAGTGAGAGCTGAATCAAAGAAAGCAGTGTGAGAACCAGAGCAGCGTGACTGATTGTGCGCCAAACTACTTCGGCTCAGGTCGAGTATTTGAACACGGCTGCCCGATTAGAGAGAATCATTGAACGCCACTTCCTAATTAGAAAGAAGCACAATGCACGTTGTGTCTTCACTGTTGGCCGGCTACAGTTTTCCTTGGGGGGAGTGTTACCAGGAATGCGGATTTACTTCATGGAGTAGGCACACTGCTGACAAAATTACACTTTTCCTCTTGCAAACACACTGAGTAGGACAGGTGCTTTGAATGACGCGTTGAAGGAACTAATCGCTAATGTTAATGATGCATTAATACCCGTAACAATGTGAGAGGGTAGTGGTAAATAGGAATGACGTGTTGTTAAAGCCGGCAAACTCTGAGACTGTGGCGCTGTGGATATCGTGCCCGACCAATGTCGTCACCGACAGCGAAGCCGTAAGTATGACTACCATTGACGGAACTTTTTCGTTTTCTTCTGATCGTGCGAATTTTTTCGACGTCATAACTGTGATGGAAGTGCGTTACTAAAGTATCAGTGAACCTCATCATAAAACACTAGTGTTAAAAGAAAGCAATAAAGCAAAACATAAAAGAAAGAGAGCATAGCATAGCCAGGGCAGGACAGCAGGGGGCGGGAAACTAAGCGAGGGTGACGACGAAAGGGGGAGAGAGTGCGGAGTATAAAACGGTCAATATGCTATGGTACAGCAAAGAGAAGAGACAGGAAGTGAGGCGGAGTAGGAAAGAAAGAGGAATGAGGATAAATAGCATATACAGAGTAGAAGGTATAGGTATGAAAGGAAGGGTAAATGGGGAGGATAGTGAGGTGGAGTGATGTGAAGTAGAAGAGTAGAAAAATAAGAAATGGAGAGGGTAAAGAATGTCATAGCTGTGTCTACTACGGTATAGAATGTAGCTAAGAAATGGAAGTTATGGTGAAGAGCAGAAAAAAACTCCGTGTGGACCATCAGTTCCACTCTTTCAGTTCTACACACCAGTAGTGTGTTGCTGAGGATATTGTATTTGCACGTGAATTAACCAGATAACATAACTTACTTGTTATTACCTGTGAGGTATCAAATTTATTGCAGATTGTCCCATTTTCTTCATTTACCCAGGTCTCTCTTGTCGCAGTGTTTGTTGCAGACTTCACAAACAGACAGGAAAACTTGCAGTTGTTATACCACTGCACAAGAAAGAAAAATTGGTTGCATCATCTCGTCGGCTGATGCAACCTACACCATATGTATGCCGAATTCGTTCAACTGCAATTTGATAGTTTTGTCTGGTGTTGCGAAATATGGGCATAGGTAGTAGTTGAGCTAAATTGACAAAAGGTTTCTTATAAGCATATGTTATCAGATGACCCATGTTATAGAACGAATCTTAAAGTTTTATAGTTGACTTCACCAAATTGACAGTGACAACCATTTATGCGGCAGTGTTCGTGGCTCCAGCTCACTGAACGTCAAAGGACTTTCTACCAAAGCTCACTCAATGGCCTTTTATAAATGAACAATTCGTAATGTCAAGGAAAAGCACTATTTCGTGCAGAGAATTTCTTGCACCAGGCACATATATAGAGAACCGTGGAAAATATTAGAATATGTAAATATGACACCATCGCAGGGATGCCTGAAAAGTCACCGTATAAGTCTCTAAAACATGAGTACCACAAAAGTACTTTATTGACTAAACACGCGTGAAGAAGTATAATGGTAGGAATTACTATAAGCTGAAATATACGATAAAATATAAGCTTGTTTCGTTAAACTGCAAGTTAAATTTAATGCCTCAATGGAACAACTATTCAAGGACAAGGAGTTGCGTCTTCCAATGATATTGCTACATGCATATTAACATTGTGTGGGACGATGCATGTGTGTGCCTGACGACGAAGACGAAGTGCGGTCTCCGCTCGGTCGCTGGACAACCGGTCATACCACTGCTACTGGTTTGATATGTATTATTCTCATCCCAATTCACTGGTGCCACCGTCATCCCATCGTGACACATCAACATCACTTACAAACTTTATCACGTGAGCACTTCGACTGGTTCGGAAATTGTTGCCTTGCAAAGTGCCATCGATTATATGAAGCAGCGACCGGCCAGTCGATGGGCAGTATTCTGCGACTTCAAAGCGGCTCTACAATGTTTTTCGTCGGCACTTCGTCGCGCGTCGTACGAACAACTGGTGTGGGGAATCAGGTAAATGTTTCACTACGAGACTGAACAAGTACACAACGTTGCGTTCCAGAGGATACCAAGTCATTGCGGTATCTCCGGCAACGACCTCGTTAATGAAGCAGCCAGAAATGCACACGTGCAAACAGACCCTGTTTCCGTACCTTTATCTAGAATCGAAGCGGCTACATACCTAAGTAGGCTGGCGCAGAACATGACACTGCAGAAGTGGCAGGCATCACAGTTCGCACATCACGACCGTATTTTCTCGACCCATCTCTGCGGCTACCCTCTGATCTTTCCAGGGAAGAAGGTACAGTGTTGTGCCGTCTGCGTCTGAGCGTAGCCTTCATCAATGCCTAATCATTTAAGACAGAGATGGCCGACAGCGCGGAGTGCAATGAATGCGCTGTCGATGAGACTATTGAACACCTCCTATGTTACTGCCTGGCATTCATAAACGAGAGGCTTCACCTGCGCAGTGCTCTAAATCAACTGGACAAAGGTGATTTCATGGTGGAGAAAGCATTGAGACCATGGCAATGCTTATCCCAATTCCAAAAGGCAATGAAAATGCTGTTGCGTTTTCTTAAAGACACCTGCCTCTTTCAACGTTTGTGATGTGAAAGTGTTATGCGTCGGCCAAGTCAGTGACTTTGTTCTCTTCCTCTATAACTTTCCTTCTTCTTCTCCCCTTCCCAAATTCAGGGTAGCCTACTGAAGCTCAGCCCTGGTTAACCTCCCCGCCTTTCTTCCTACTTTCTCTCTCTCTCTCTCACCCTCGTCGACCCGGCGTTTCTTCCGTAACAATATTAAAGCAGCTACAACCTCTCATCACAGAGTCTTATTAAAAGACCTTTCACGTGAACTAGTTAGGTATGAACCTGTCAAGAATAAATGCGCCGAATAACCGTGAATTATCTAAAACTATAGCCGCCAAATGAGCGCACACTACACCCTGACTTGGTCTGCTGTGTTCCGACAAATTTGGAGCTTTGAAAAGAGAGTTTGCAGGCAGTTGGTAATCGCCTTGCAGTTGTTACTAAACAGACACTGCAATCATAATTTTAGGATCTCTTCGGTGGCTGGTATTGATACTCAAACTAGCTCTCTGAACTAAAATATTCCATGTCTTTTCATTGGAGACCACCCATGCTTTGAGAATTGCTTGTACATTATGCAGTAAAATATTACGGCTCAAGGTAAGCTCCGAGCAAAGTTGCTTGTATTTGTACCATGGCAACACTACTGCACGATTTCAGGTATTAAACCTGTGAAAGTTAAGGGACGCCCTCCTTTAAATACAAGTACCTCTGCAACATACGCTATTAAGTGGTGCCACGTCGTAATAAAGTAATAACAAGTAATTTAGCATCACACGTGGTGTGTTGTGCTGTGCTTTGTGGATGACAGTGCTCTTTTGCTAAGAATGAATGTCAAAATGCTCATTGGATGCATGAAAAGCAATTGAAGATGTTTTCATTCAATATCTTCTCCTACGAATGTCCTTCTTGAATACCTCCCCCTGAATCTGTACACTCTTTTCTAGAAGAGAAAGCTTCAACTATTGAAGCAACAGTCTTTCTGACTCGGCCTCATTCGTATCTTGAAACATCGTTGCTTGATGTCGCGTTTTTGTTATGTGAAATGTGATGTAGCTTGTCATTCTTCCTGAACTTCTTTCTAATACTAGCTTGGGTGTTTTATGCCAAACCGAGATGAGGTATACCGTAGTTGGGTACAGGGGAATATTCTTGACTGCGTGAAAATCTTTAATTTCAATCTGAATCTAAGCACACGTTTGTTCTTGGTGTATCAAGACCAAAAAAAAATGCAACCGCTGTATCTTAGAATTGAATGCGCACCCTTGAGCTCAGCGGCATGAGATCTTACGCACTAAGTTAACACCGTATGTGCAAGTCTTTTAGGTAAAAGTACTTCAGTGAAGTTGATCCTGGTCGTGCAAAATAGTAGAGTCAACATAAACGCCGCTATCACTGAATCGAGGTGTTTTTACCGCTTGCTGTAGACCTGAAACCTAGTGTGGAAGGATATCTTTCAGAGCTAGTAAGTTGGTGTTAATAACCTATCGACACAAAAGCATCCGCATTCACGCACTGCTATGAACACACTAGAAGTCATACAAAGTTTATTGGCTTGCGTTGTTGCTGCCAATTCCTCCTATACTTTCAGTATCCCTTTAACACAATATTTTTTCAGGCCAGCCCATGCATTTTTGATGAAATATTTTCAGTATTCCCCAACTAAAAAAACGCCCGTGTACTTAAAACGCAATTTGGACAAGCAAGTAGTTTGTCATCTGTGTCGGCATTGCTTTTCGAGGCCTACTGTGAGTTTAGTTCGTTTTCATCTATGGCAGAAACAGAATGTTCGGTCTAGAACACACTTGTTCTTCATCGTCATGAGGGTCTTCGTTATCATTACTGCGATCACGGACACGCAAAACAACGGACAAACACATCAGTCACGATCATCGTCATGGCGCATAGTAGGTACCCTTCATCGTCATCAGTGTGGTCGTCACCATAAGCACGGACAACGCACAACGGACAAGCACACCAGAGTCAGCATCATTCATAGCATATAGGGGGTACCCTGCGTTGTCATCAGCGTGACTGTCACTGTGAGCACGAACAATGCACAAAAACAGACAAGCACATCAGAGTCACCTTCATCATCTGGGCGTATAGTGGGTAGACTGCGTCGTCATCAGCGTGATGGTCACTGTGAAGACGGACAACACACAACAACAGGCAAGTGTACACCAAGGCTTCTTTCCTAATAAATAAATTGGAGGCCTTCACCTCGCATTTCGAAGTAGAATGATTTAGCGTTTGTGCTGCCTTCACATCGCCTTCTAATTCCCTCGCCACACTTCGCTTCCCAAAGAACGACACTTCTTCCTTTCAGAGGAAAGGAAATGCTATGCCCGCTATATCCACCAGTGTAAACAGTCCAAGAGTGCCCTTTCCTACACATGTTGCGAATAACCCAAGATAGCCCCATTCGCGATTTCATCCCACAGTGAAGCAATCACTACGTGTCTGAAAGGTAGTATGTGCACCTATGTAGCTGTATGCTGTTTTGATGCTGTTGCTGATGATGACAATAATAAATTATGGCTGAGCGTTCAATAACCGCTAAAAAGCTTTAAACCACCGAACATTTTGGTAATTAACAAAGTGGGGAGCCTACAGTGCACACGCTCCTTCAACCCGAAAATGTGTCTGTTAACGTGGCTTTGCATGGTATAGAGTTTAAGGCTGCTTTTTTCGAGGCAGTTACAGCCTTTAGCGTGATTTGTGCTGAAAAACTAGACTGCCGCATATAATGCTTAGGTTCGATTCAAGCCCTCCGCTTCACTTTGATTTTTGTACACACTGGTAATTTTCGCGCATGGACGAAGACATTGACAGCGCATTGTGAGCTACATGGCTTCTTTTACACTATCGCGTTGAAAACATTTATACATACAGGTATTTAGAACGGGTCATCACAGACAGAATACATTACAGGCATTTATAACGGGTTATTGCACTATAGTCCTAAAAGCATCCAAAGCACATATATCTCTACAAATTTCTATGCCAGGCTTTTCAAGAGTTCTGACCGAAATTCTCAAAATTCATGGGATAAGTCAGATTTGCTCGACGTCTTCAGATTTATTTCTTCTAGTGTGACAGGCAGGCTTAGACGCCTAAGGATATCATTTGCGACATTAATTACGAAAGTTCAACAAACGTTTTACAACTAGAGCTAGGCAATTATGTCAAATAACCACAGCTATGAGATATAGAAAAAGGGGCCTCAAATAATTTTTGTGGTGCAATGAACTTCAAAAAAATTCAATAGTTAAACCAAACCGTTGAGCGCAACAACTAGAAGACGTGAAAGACGTCACTGGTCAAGACAGTTACTACAGAGATGAAGCTCCGTCGTGGCCGTTAACGTAGGTGTGCCATGAGGACTATAATCGCTATAATTTGAAAAGCTGCAGAAAGAAATTGGTTGATGGTTGATATCATAGAGCTTACTCATTCCGGCAATTTCAGAAAAAAAGGGCAGTAGCGCTTTTTCGCGCTAAAGTTTCGCTTCCACCGCTGATTTTTGTTGAAATTGCAGTATTTCGTAATGATTACTAGAACCGATTTTTTTGGAACTCTCAAAGCAGCAATAGTTTTTCCGCGTGAAGGACACAAATTCTCATATAGCACAGAAATGTATATATATACTAAATAAAAATTTATGTATACGTTTTCTTAATTACTCTCTGAAACGATATTGTATCAATATTAAGTACGGTATGTTGCCACTTTTGAGAGCTATACTTTTTTCATAAAAAAGCGAACTTCACTTTCTATTATATTAGGAATATACAGATATTTAGAATTTTTCAGCAGAAAAACGCAGCCTCTATCTGCTCTTTTAGAAAGTTGTGCTGATTTTCACAACTACCAATACACCTCGCTGAAACCAAAACTGATATTTTGTGGAAAAAAACAACAACATTTTATTCAGTAAACCAAAGTATACTTGTGCCCAAATTCGTGAAATTGATTTAAATTTGTCGGAGCTAAATTATGCCATTGCTTACTATGCTGAAGCTGAATTTCGCTAAAGCTGAGCAATAGTAATCGCGGCCATTCTTTATTCAAATTGCACGAATTCGCCCGTGTCGAGAGCGTTTAAAGTGACGCCATGTTTATATTCCACCGACGTGTGGTCCTACCATTCTAAAAGACACTTTTTTCTTGACTTGAATGCCCTAGAATGATGTCCTACCAAAAATAACTACGTATGGCTAAGTTCCAAGTTAAACAAAGGCTGAAACGAACAGTGTAACAAGTTGTCACCTAAAACCCATGTAAAATACCATGTAATAGTTGTTGTAACCTAAAATACCATGTAACCTAAAATACCATGTAATAGTTGTTGTGCCTGCGGAGACCGGCCACCTTGCGGATTTGCGCAGACCTTGTTTGTACTGTCTATGTGCTTCGCGTTGTCGACGAATTCGCCATCGCACTACCTATTGCTAGCTTCCTTGTTAGCTCAAATCATAGAGCGACCAATCCCTTAAAGGCGTTGGTTCCGGGTTCGATCCTCGGACCAGGATGAATTCTTCGGACAACTAAGAAGCTTTTCTTTCTGATAAAGCCTTCTTTCTGAGAACAAAAAAAATCGCAGCATATCCACAGATTCAAAGATGATAAGTGGGGCCAAGTGTCTGTCTACCAATTAGTCCATATGTCCATCCGTCCGTCCATGCATTCGATAGCATTTGAAAATGCAGACGGCGCATGGGTAACAACGACGAAACGCGAGCTAAGGAAGCCGAGCGCAAGCGCCTTCAACGGACCCGCCGCTATGATTCGTTCATGCCCACCAATTATCCGCCACGTACGGCGAGTATCCAGAAGACTGCGAGAGGCATTTGTTCTCCACGCACTCAAACAAAGCGTGCGCAGCGGACAATATGAGAGTAGTGGCACTTCGGATAGTAGCAGAAGAGTAACTCCATCTAGAAAATTAGATGAGAAATTGTCATTAATTTCTTTTTCCCTTTTTTCTTGTTTTATATTCTCTGGGTTACGCGTGACCAGTGACAAGGTTAGACAAGAGGAGCTTCGCTCCTAAAAGCTTTTGTCTGAGAAAAGCACGCAGCAACAAAGAAATTCATATGGATTTCCTTGTAGCCTCGTGCCACAATCGGGGTGGTTGTCTAAATTCTCTTTCGTATCGATAATACTGACGAAAAATGCGAACATTCTTATCAATCTGCAGCCTTAACATTCAGCGACATACCTGGCAAGTGAATATTATTTTACATCAAGTGGTCGGATATTATGTCCATTCACATGACGAGCTCAGTTTGGGTAATTTACATAATAATGTTGAGATTAGTTGCCCTTTTTTGCCTGAAAATGTGGCAGCATACCTAAAGACGCTTGCGGCTATGAAAGAAGTAATTTTGAAGGCTTCGAGGAAACACTTCATTTCTGTGAGTATTGCGAATTTAGGACGCATTTCTTCAAACACCCGGCACACTGGTAGTACAATGACCGCATGCTTTAGAATTATACCAACTTTCCGTGCTTTTTCAAATCAGTTTTCTCACCTCCCTTACGTAGTACGCCTCTTCCTCTCGCTTCATTTCTTCACACCTTTCTTTTCTTCTTTTTTCCACTACTGGATCTACTACTCGCCCAGACGACGGTTTATCAAACAAACACCCAGCTTGAGCACTCCTGTGTCAAGATATGAATTTTTAAATGCCAGAGGTGGGATTTAGCTCAAATGCAGAATAATGCAGATTATTGAAACATTATTTTTTCATGAATACAAAGGAATGAGAGCTGCTGCATCAAAAACAAATAATTTGTATTACAAAGTTGACAGAGTGTAAAATACCAATATTAGGGTACCTAATCTTAAAGTGCGAAGTGGCTTCAACAAAACAACTGAAGATCTCATAAAAAACAATATTTATTGCTTTCGAAGATAATAAGTCAATTTTAAGTATGCTTTCTTTATATATATAGATTTTCATAAACGATGCTTCTTGAGTGTTTGTCTTCATTTTTACAGTGCGAATTCAAATGTTTGCCTCAATTGAACCTCTCTCTGTACCGCACGTTGCTGCCATTGTGTCGGGGTGGCGGTGCTTGTCAAGCTGCTGATATTGCAGTTTTTATCCTGCTATTCTCATCATAATTGATACTTTTTCCTTTTTTCCTATTCAACCTTTGTTAAAATTGTAGAGACTAATATACATTGATTATGAGGAAATGAATCAAATCTCAAAACTCAAACCTCTAACTTCGGTCAATGACACAACTTCCTAAAAAGAAGGAAGGAATCAACAATTTCCAGTAGCAGCGTGTTTCTGCTCTAGAATACATGGCTGCCTTAAATATACACCGGGGTTATATTGTAGATTGAAGCCGTATTTCTATGTCTTTTATTAAACTGACCAATCTCATGTAACGTTTTCTACTGCCTGCAGGGTTCTTCAAAGCCAGCTTATAGCCAACAACCTAAGGCCAGGACCTCTAATAACGTTCAAATTCCATAGTCTTTCTTTTTTGAAGCGCACTAGGGCATCTGAAGGATCAACAAGAAAGAGAGTAATAAAAACAGCATCAATGGGGCTAGGCAGGGAAAATATATTCAGTCGTGAAAATAATAAAAAAATTTAAATACCCCGAAAATAACAGTACTGTCAGATCGAATGACGTAGTCTTACGTGCTGTGACTTCTCTCGCCAGTTAGACAACGCAATGTAGCCATTTGCAAAGCTTTAAGCTCCAGCGTCGCGGAACTTGCCGCCCCAAGGCCACCTCTCTCTCCGGCGCACCAATCAGTACCAGAGTAACAAAAGACATAGCAGGCCAACGTTTGGCAAAATGGTACACCGAAACAGTGGGCCATGGTGTCAAACATACACCCCGTGAATACGACTCGAGAGTGTACAACACGCCCCAAAATGATGCCATTCACTAGGACTCAAAGGTCAGAATAGGAGCTGCCTCATGAGGGTGGACATCATGGTATGGGGAGCTTCTTTATCCTCGCATTCCAGAGGTTAAAACAAAAGAAAAAAAGCAGCCAGTGCCCTTAGCGTGTAATGCAGTTTCCAAACATTTTTGTGAAAACTGTTCATGTTTGCGTAATCATATAAAGTCGTGCACTCAAGAAAAATGAAAAGCAAGCTCTTGTGGTATTGAACGGACTATATGTAGCACTAGTTCCTAAATTATGTTGGATGGGCATTTAAACACGTCACTTCCACCAAACTGGCTCTAGGTGACTGCTAGCATCACTAAAGCTACATGGGTGACGAGCCACGTTTTTCATACCTATGTTGCGAACCTGTATTCGAGGCAGTTTATAGATATCTCTTGAGTAACCTTAGTCGGCCACTAAGAAAGCTGTCGCAAATTTTCCCTGACATGTACTGGACATTGATACACATATAATGCGAAGGAGCGCTTGGAGGCAAGGCACAAAAGAAAAGACACGGCACGAGTCGCGCTACACTCGCGACTAGTTAACCTCGAAGAAAACGTAATTGATATGCACACATGATAGCGCACCACACATGACAATGACGTTAAAGTCGCAGCAGTTTCCTGTGATCTTCCAAAACGAGATACTTCGCAATCGCTATGAACTACCGATGCTTGGCTCATGCAATCACCTTTATTGACATGAAAGGTCTGGATCACTTCCTTGTTCAGCTAATCCTTGTGATTGTAAAGTGTCTCAGTCTCACGGAACAGCGGCGTCCAACCACGTTCCAAGAAATGCAGCCTAACATGCGAATGGTGCGTTTGCTCTCCGCTTGCGCCCCAATCACTGGCTGCACTCACGCGCTTTCACTCGTACAAAAAGTCGTGGCCTCTGCGAATAACAAGACGGAGACTAAAGGGGAAGTTGATCGCACTTGATGATAAAATGGCCGAGCAACCATACACGGACAGAAGCAGGAGGTGTGTCGTGTACCTTATTTCCTCTGTTTGTGTGTTAGCAACTTAGACTACGTAAGGAGGAACGCCACGGCGCTGACACATACGGCGACAGTGATGGTGAACGGTGAAAACTCGCTGAGATGTCCACACAGTTGTTATCCCAATTGAAAAAAAGCCTTACTTCAAAAAATTATTGATGTCGCGCAAGCTGCAAAATGAAAAGGTTGATCCAATGCCGTGAATAGAAGGGTTCATTATGTGTCTCTCAGTGTTTGGGCACGACCTTGTCGTTGCTTCACCATCGTGTTGTGCTCCAAGCCTGCAAGTAGAGGTACTTATGTTAGTAGATAGGTACATTGTCGAAGATTTATTCAACTTAAAGATTTGAGATTGACTCGGAAGTGCTCATCTAAAAAGTTGGCCACGTATACCCGTGCTTCACGGCAAATTCTACCGAAAGGTGATTGTCTTCTGTGTCGAGGTGCAGCGTGAGATATGAACGTCATGTGGCAGTGCCATCGGGAATCATGAGCTTGTGTAGAACCCAGGATCACTGCCAGGTGGCAGCACCATATCGTAGGCAGAGCGCTTTTTTGTGCATGGCCTCACGCTTTCACCAAAGCGTAATACCCGCTGCGTCGTGCAGAGCATCGCATTTCCAGTGCAGCGCAATGAACAATATGGCCTTGAAAATTATGTGTAGATATGTTTTCTAGCAGAGGAACACACCACCTGATTATTACGTATTGATGTTGCGCCTCAGCTATGAAAAGTATTTGCTTTTTGATCAACAATGCTTCTTAGTACGAGCCAACAGATCAAGATGAGGGGCTTTGACCAAGGGTGTAGAATTTATCTAGATGGTAGATGTATCGTGTGGCAGACAGACAAGCAGAAAGACAGACAGACCAAAATTTTGGTATTGTAGTATCCGAAAAAAAGGCTATCATCTTCGTAAATAAACATGTGTGGTCCGGGAAAATGAAGTTGGACTATCAGCCTGTAAGAGAGAAGGAGGGTCATGAAAATTCTGCGTTAGTCATCATTACATTCCAGCGAGGTAACGGTGTGCTTAGATAAAAGGGTAAAGACTTGATTTTGAAGCGCGCACTAGGCTACCACTGTGTGCACGTACCATAACGTTCGACCAGGACAGTAGAGGAGTGGGACGCAGCTGTATGAATGAAGACTAAAGCTAAAGTTCCAGGTGCCAGCCAACAGCCACTAAAGAGCATGTGCGCCTTGAAGCACTCCTAAAATGTGTGTTTTTGATAGTATTGCAATGCGCACTTATTTCATAACCACCACCTTGCTGCACGTGGAACAACCGCTGCGCGCAAGACGTGCAGGAGTGTACGGCAAGCTATCCGATTGTTTCGGAGTTTCAATAAGTATGCGCGCTCGACGCGAGACATGGAGGTCATCCTGGAACTAACGTGGTCATAAGGCATAACAGTCGAGACTTCCAGGCTGCATCTAAAAACGCAACCAATGATCAGATTATTCGCGGTCAACGTCTGTGGTCACCGCTATCAGTTCACATCAGGTGTTGCTTGCATAACGAATCGCATTTAATGAGCGTAGGCTTGCCTGAATAATGGGAAGTATATGTCAGTATCACTGGAGTCATCTTTACGATGACGTAACAGTATTGCACGATGAACATGTATAGTCAACTGCACTTATTTATCCATATTTATAAGCTAGTGATATAGCTTAACGACCGACAGAGCTGATGCTTATGAGTTTCATGCAGTACCTCACATTCAAAGCAATAACATACGTGCTCCATCAACAATCGAGGAGAATATAACTACATTTAAATCTAGTTTATAGCTTAAATTGCTACTAAATTCTGAAATTCTCAATAGTGGTCAGGACACCTTGGTATGAAACATTTTTTGTACATACATGTGCACACTGTATACTTACGCGTGTGCTAATTCATGCACCATTGTTAAAACAGTTTTATCTTCATCGCCGCTGTCCGATACAAGGGCTGCTGTCATACTGCCGCAGACACCTTGTCCCTGTTTTATCCCTGTTTTCGAAATAAAGAAAAAGTACTTGCGCTAACCCTGCAATAAATATCTTTCCAGTGCGGTGGTCGATAGTTATGCATGCATCATATGTTGACTGCTAGCGCGTTGAAATATTTCAAACGTTGCTATGTTAACGTGTGATTATTTGACTCACCAGCATAATTTACAATTTCAAGTTGTTTAGCATGGTTATTCTCTCACTAAAACCACTAGGTACATCAACTAGGTGGTTTAATAGAATGTAGCTTAGCGTAAAGGGGCTTCACTTTAAAACTGTTACAATTGCAGCCCAGAGGATGTGAATGTAATAAGGTGGTCGATGGAGGCAAAACCTTGCACCTAGAAACACACTCTAATGGGACGTCATGATCACGCAACATGGCACATCTTCATGGTATGTCTTTTTTGCATTGCACGTGTAAAATGTGACGCGGCAAAACGGTGCTAGGTGTAATCAGGCAAGTAAAGCCCACGCCTTAGGAAAAAAGATTATGCTAGTCCTGTGATCGAGCTGAATACCACTAGGACTGCTCGCTCGCCGACTCGCTTTTTTGTAACGGCACAACATATGTTCATACAACGTCACAATACTGCAGTGCATGAACCATAGCCACATACTTTCGTAGATGTCTTTATTTGGAAGTAGATTAGAAGGAATGCACACATTTTGATATATGCGTATTAAAGTGTGTGAGAAAATGGACAAATATTTTACCAACTATTTATCTCACTACGATTCATTTTGTTTAATAAAAGTTGAAAGAGTGGTGCATTTTACCACAACCTTGAAAATAACTGTTTCGAAACGTTCTGCTTCCAAAACTGTGATTTTAAATCCCAAATCTAATGTCACTGTCTTTGATCCGTTTATATGCAATAGGTGGGTTAGAGTAATTAGTTTAAATGTTGTTCAGCAAAATGCAGGTATTTAGCGGTTCTCTTTGATCTGCAGCGTAATACATGAGTATTTGTAACCTGGGTTGGTGAGTAAACTGGGGCAACATAAAAAACGACGTTCTTAAAGCAAAGCTGAGGGAATGAAATGAAGCGCCCCATACAAAAAATAACATTCGGTGTAGGACTGATTTAGAGGCAAATTGATTCTATTACAACTGCGCGCCTTCTGCATTAGGAATGCTGATAAACGCACGAAAAAGCATACCTTCGACAGCCTGCTTTGGATTTCTATCTGCGGTCATACTGAGCCTGCAAGTGCAGAAAGTGGTAAGTAAAACACTAAGAAAACAGTGTAACTACTTTCTAAAAGCGCTTCGAAAACATGGTAAAGTGATAGTGATAGTTTGCTACTCACGTGTAGAGTAGCAAACTGGCCTCAGTCTACTTAACACTTCTACTTTTCTTATATTATTGCTCTCTCTCATCACCGGCAGCACGCACCGGCACCTGCTTCACAGTGGTGTCAACGATGCCCTTTTCGAGCTGCGCAAGTGTTTTGTAGATCAAGAGATGCCAGTGTGATAAAAGGTAATCTCTTGATGCAAAGTGCGTGAAAGATTCAAGCTCCAATCTGCCTCAGCCACTACCACACCGCTGCCGACCGACAGCATGCAGAGGTCGCACTCATTTAGCGTCATGTGTGTTCCACTTTACCGGCCCTATTTCATGAAAGAAACCAGCCATGTCAAATTCTAGTAATATTAGTAATATAGCTCTATAGTCGTAAAATGTATGCACGTGCAATAAAATTGATATGTGGTGGGAAATGGTGGAGTTACGAACTTCTTACTGGCTTTTTTTTAGTGCCGTGAGTACGCCGTGAGTGAGTCCGGGTGAGAAATATTAGGGTTAGTTATAGTCCGAGTGTGTCCGGTTGGGGAAAATATTTGTTAGTCTGGTGCGAGTGAGCTATAAGCACAACATACATTTTTCGAAGTGTTTTATGCTTGGGACAACCAAGACCTAAATGCCTTATTTCGCTCAGCGATATGGCGTTAATGAAATATACGCTGTGATATGAGAAAGAATAAACTGTCGGTGTCGAAAGAGACACGACCCAAATAGTCGGAGGTTTGATTCCCCACCGAGAATCAAACTTCCAAGTCCTTGGGCCATGACGACTTTTCGCGACGAGATAGAGCTATAGGCGGCAGCACTGTTTTCGCGGAAGTGTGGATAGGCGATCGGCGGCACGTATACCAATACACGCACGGCGTTTCGCTGCGTGTGGTTTGAGCCGATTGTCGGCGAATGAAATGCATTAACTGCAGTTTACTGGTAACATTTACGCTCCTCTCTACCGAATTGACGCAAGAAGCCCATGCAATGTTACTATTACTACCGAGTCAAGCTCGTTCTGGCTGGCTGACTGCTTGCTTTCGCATTAAATGACGCTTGTGCTGTGTTGCTTGTATGCATTTCACCTATGTTCCGCCTACTATGCAATTCTCTTGCACGACTGAACTACTTATTACCTACTTGCTCCTCTGACTGCTATAAAAGAAAGAGAAAGAAAGATCATAGAAGGCCCTCATATTGGTTCAACGCGTTCTGTGCCCCTTTTCGCCCTGAATGCGCATGCGCATTTTTCGCATCAATCTGTTCTCAATTAATTGTGGGACAGTCGATAAGCCTAGCGAGGAAAGCTTCATGGCTGACAGCGTTTTGCGTTACATCGATGTTGATCACGCACGCACATGTTCGTGCACCAGTAAAACTATCAAAAGCTCTTAAGGGTTCTGCAGAAAGCTTTCATTAAAAGGTTACGTTCAAATGACAATGATGAAACAAAGGTCTGCATATTTTACGGTAAGAAGATGCTCTCTTTTTTCATTTTTTTCTCAATCGAGAAAAGACCGCTGCCTTCCGGCAGTCATTAACAAGGCCAGACAAACGCGCAAGACAGTGTAAAAAATTATCACATTTTCCGTCAAATTGTACAACAGTAACGTAAGGAGCATCGTCTGAATTAATTCTGAACGTCTTGGTTGTTTAAGCATTTTGACAGGTGTTTCTTTGAAAATTTCGCTGCGTAAACTTTACCGCGAGTGGAAGAATGGCACTCAATAAACTCGTTTTTAACAAGAGTTTTAGGTCATGTTTTACTTCATGAAATTACCTCTCTGTAGTACTACCATGGCCAGCTAGACATAACTAAACCTCATCGCATAGTCGAAGAACTATATACAGTGCCATAGTTATGCAACTAACAAGGTACAAGTGTGTCGCTTAGAGGCTTGGTTTTGTTGTCAACCAAGTCGCTCAAACGTTTCATTCGCTCACTATTTAAAAGTCGTCATTTTGGAGACGATACCAAGTGCACTTTACGATATGCTTGAAGCAAAAAGCGGCATCCACACTGAAATGATTCTGCTAAATGGAGGATACGACGACAGTACGCAGCAAACTGGAAAGTGATACATCGCTGATGTTATTGCAGTGCTTTACTAGCCGAGCAAGACCAAATGCTTTCATACGTCGTTTCAGGTATACGTACAAGCAAGTAAGCTCACGCAAACATAACCGAAATAACTACTCTTTGCGAACGTGCGCGGCAAGCTACTCCCCCGAGCAAACATAGAAAGGCTAGCAAACAACGCAAGGAGCAATCTAAACCATGGCCTCCGAGATTGCGGGCATGCGGCGTGGTTCTCTCCGGCCATCCCAATCACCGTGTTTCCCAGCAAAACCAGCGAATCTCGCCTCACGTGCCCGGATACCGCTAGAGGGCGCATTTATTGTGGGTTCATTAGGTATTACGGCTTGGTGGCGCTAGCCACCGCCCGATCTAAAGGGTACAGCCATATCCATCCATCCATCCATCCATCCATCCATCCATCCATCCATCCATCCATCCATCCATCCATCCATCCATCCATCCATCCATCCATCCATCCATCCATCCATCCATCCATCCATCCATCCATCCATCCATCCAGATACGATTCCAACGTGGCACCAATATCTAAGATAGGTAGAGTCCGGGGACTAAATACACGTAGCCACGAGCGCCGAGCCAATTCAGACACAGGGTATATTAACATGCAAGGTGGTAGGAACAGGCTTAAGTGGGAAGAGATAGAAGAACAGCTAAGGGAGGAGAAGCCGACGGTATACGGTTTTGTAGAAACACTTCTCAGGGACATGGAACAACCTACTAACAATGCGGACTACGCGTGGGAATATTGTAATAGAACAGAAGTCAGCAGAAAGGGGGGTGGTATTGGGGCATTCATTCATAAAAGTACAGACTGGCAAAGGGTCAAGCAGGAGTGCAAGGAAAATTTATGGCTAAAAGGGAAAGTGGCAGGTCATATTACACTCCTTGGTTTTGTGTACTAGTGAACGGGAGCAAAGGCCAGAGAGGAAAACCAGGGAATGGTAGAGTGTATATCAAAGGACATTCAGGAGTTAGGAAGAGAGTGCGAGATAAATATACTAGGAGACATGACTGCGCACATAGAAGATATTGATGGGTATACCGACCCGACAGGCAAAATGATCATGGACATGTGTGAAAGGCTTGATTTGATCATTTGCAACAGTACCGAGAAGTGTGAAGGGCAAATAACATGGGAGGTAGGAAGGCTGCAGTCGACAATAGATTATGCACTGATGTCACATAGGATGTATGATAAGCTCAGAGCAATGCACATAGATGAAGGTGGCTACAGAAGTCTGGGTAGGGATCACAAGCGTATCGAGCTAATTTTTGGAAGAGCAGTGAAAGTGGGAAGGAGACAAGATGAGCAAGTACAGGAAAATTTTTATCCAGAAAGGCAAATTGAAATAGCCACTAAACAAATTGAGAAAGTAATCACGGAGGATAATAAGACAGTGTGCACATACACGAATCTGATTAGACTCTTTGAGCTAGAACTTGCTAAGACGCTTGACAAGTCACCCCGGAAAAGAAGACGCAAACCCAAAAGTTGGTGGGATGAGCAAGTTAAGAGAGCCATAGCGAAACGTCAGGAAGCCTCTAGGGAACACAGACATGCTAAGCAGCGGGGTGAACCGACAGATGATGTTGAAAGAAAATGGGAAACCTTTTTAAGCTGTAGAAGGGATGCATCCCTTCTGATCAATGAAAAGATTAGAAGAAAGGAAGCTCAGTGGCTGGCAGAAGTACATAAAAAAGATAGAAAGGCAGCTGCGAAATTTTGGAACTATCTAAACTCCCTAAGAAATGAGACGAGCCTAGAGCAGAGTTTTATAACTACAGCCCAAGGTGCTAGGCTAGAAGGGGACGAAGCTATTGAATATATAAGAACAAGGGTGACATAAAAATTTCAACAAAGAAGTGCTTTACGCACCACCATAGACAAGGACAATTCAGGTGGTGCAATGACTCCATTTTCACAACGATAGTGGGAAAGGGCTGAGAAAAGGGTTCCTAGTAGTACATCAACAGGCCCAGATGGCATTTCAATTAGGCTGATAAAGACATTAGGTCCTTAGTCTAAGCAGACTTTGAGAGAGGCAGTGAGCAAAATATTAATCGATGGTGAAGTTCCCGACGGATGGAAACTTAGCAGGAAGAGCATGATCTATAAAGGAAAGGGGGACAAAGCTGACATAAGCAACTACCGTCCTATAACAGTGACATCAGTGGTCAACAGGCTGGCGATGCAGATTATAAAGGAAAGACTGCGGGCATGGATAGAGGATGAGGGGGTGCTGGGGGAACTGCAGAATGGGTTTTGGAAACACAGGAGGTTGGAAGACAATCTGTTCTCACAGACGCAGTACATCGAAATTGCAGAAAAGGAACACAGGCCCCTGTGGCTAGCATTTTCGGATATCAAGGGAGCGTACGATAGCGTGGTTCAAGAGGAATTGTGGGGAATACTGGACACACTAGGCGTGGAACATGTAGTCACTAATCTATTAAAGGGTACCTATAAAGGTAACAAGGTACTTATAAAGTGGGAAAACAGGTATCCAAGCCTGCAGAGTTAAAACGGGGGCTTAGGCAGTGGTGCCCCCTGTCACCCTTATTTTCATGATGTACCTACAAGGATTAGAGGCCAAATTAGAGGGAAGTGGACTGGGCTTCAACCTCTCTTTAGTCAGTCAGATGATATAGTGCTAATGGCCAACAACAAGGAAGATTTGCAGAGATTGATGGACATCTGCGGTAATGAGGGAGATAGGTTAGATTTTAGATTCAGTAAGGAAAAATCAGCAGTCACGATTTTCAATGACAACGAAGGTAGTGAGCTTAGAATACAGGAGGTCACGCTAGA